GAAAGAGCCAGAGACAGTATGCCAGAGAGACAGAGGGAATCCCATGGCACTTGGAGAGATCCCCTTTTCCAGTTCTAAGAGATGGGGGGGAAGACACCTAGCAGCACAGCTTGCATTCTTTATTAGCAGAAGGGAACAGTAGCACCTTAACTAACAAAATTTGTGGCAGGGCATGAACTTCTATGAGTCACTGCTCACTTCTTTAGATACAGCTAGAATGTGAATCCACCTGTCCTTGTATCTTGGAGAGTGGAGTTATTTCAGATGCCAAATGACAATAGCAGGCATTGGTAACGAGAGAGGAAACCTAGGTCTCAATTCAGTCCAGACGTTTGCAGTGTCTTGAGCTTCATTATCAGTTGCAATTCAGCAGTGTGTCTTTCTAATCTCCCTTTGAAATTGCTTTGTAAGAGAATTGCTACTCTTAGGTCAGCAACTGAATGTCCTAGAAGGTTAAAATGTTCCCCCACTGGTTTTTGAATTTCTGATTTCTAATAGCAGTAGAAAGAGTGAGAGTCCAGTAGCACCTTAATAACTAACAAAATTTGTAGTAGGGTATGTGCTTTTGTGAGTCATTGCTCACTTCTTCAGACTTATTTCCATTTATTCTTTGAATCCCCCTGTACTGAGTCCTCCTGTACCAAACTGAGACCTAGGTTTCCTGTCTCATTACCAGCGCTGGTATCTCCATGCCTACTACCCCTCTGCATATCACACCTAATCCAATCATGCCAACAAATATATCCTCTTGCAGGCATATATCCAGTTTATATATCCAGTATCTTGTGTTACATTTTATGACACACATGGCCTGGCCCAACAAAATGACATTTATGTCAGATCCGGCCCTCGTAACAAATGAGTTCAACACCTCCGCTCTAGGCTGATCCTGCATTGAGCGGGGGGTTGGACTAGACGGCCTGTATGGCCCCTTCCAACTCTGATTCTATGATTCTGCTTCAAAAGAAGGAGTTTGAAATCCTAGCTAAGGGAAAACACTGGCTAACTATGTTTAATGGTAGTGTATTACCCAAGCAGGGTTAAGATTTATTTATTTTATTTATTTATTAAGGTATTTCTACCCCGCCCTACCCCGCAAGCGGGCTCAGGGCGGCTTACAGGGGCATAAGCCCAACATAAAATACATTAAAATCCAATAAAATCACAAGATACAATCAATAATACACCATTTATGATCATAAAGTGCTTTAAATTTAAATCCAGATGGTCTGTAGTTAACTCTGCAGTTGGCTCCTACAAGAAATAACCCCTGCCAGCATTAGTTGTATCATACTGGCAGTATTAGTCCATGCTACTCGGCTGGTCTTGCCACCATGAGGTTCACCCTGCCGCCGGGCTATCAAGGGCGATCCGACTGAGATGGTATTTCCCCCGTTGGTGGTGGTGGGAGCGGCGGCCCCTACATAAAGGCCTGGTGGAAGAGCTCCGTCTTACAAGCCCTGCGGAACTGCATTAGATCCCGCAGGGCCCTGATCTCCTCCGGGAGCTCATTCCACCAAGCAGGGGCCGCCACTGAGAAGGATCTAGCCCTTGTTGCAGCATAACGTGCCTCTCGGGAATCCGGAACCACTAAGCGGTTCTGGGACCCCGACCGAAGTGCTCTTGGGGGTATATACGGGGAAAGGTGGTCCCTCGGGGGGGGGGTGTTCATGCTTGTGGGGAAGGGAGTGCATAGTTGTGTGACTCCCAAGGCATCTGCACCAGCCTCATGAAAGTGTATCTAGTTGAGCAAGAATTTGGGTTTCCCAAAGGAAGGTCCAGTCTTGAACCTCAGCCTGCTCTCAAGGCTTGACACTGAAGCTTTTTGTGTGCTTTTCTTTCATTTTCCCCCCGTCTTCTGTAGAGCTGGGGATCAAGATTTGGGAACTGAAAGCAAGCCTAGAAAGCTAACCTTGCCCCTGTTTGGCGCAATGAAAGGGGGAAGAAAATTCAGACTGAAAACTGGGACCGTTGGGGTAAGTTGAAAGATGAATAGGTTGTAGGACTGACCTTTGCATTGCAGAACCACTCCTGAAACACTTGGCTATATTTAGATAAATTGATATTGGAATTCACAGTTTCCTCTATTAACGTAATTCCTGTCAATCATAGGGGTGTATTTCCTCAAGGTGTGGTCCAGTCTTCAAATAGACAATTTTTCTCTTGTATAGAGAGCCTGTTTATGTTGTTTGCCTCCTAGAAGCCACCTGTGAAGCGTCCAGATATTCCTGTAAACCTATTAAATATGAAAGATGAAGAGCTGGAGGAGGAGGAGGAAGAAGAAGAAGAAGAAGAGGAAGCAGAAATTAAGGCAGCAAAACAAGGCACACGAAAACCAGAGATGAAAACTGCACCACAAGAAACACTCCAACCAGAAAGTCTCCCTAGTAGATCTTATTCATGCAGCAACAAAGGTATGGAGTTAATTCCTGAAGGTGAATTATTCTTACATCTTGCATTTTCCTGCATTTTAAATGAAGTTCTGTGGGCTAATAAGATCTCATTTACTTGCTTTGCTAGTTTATAATCCCGCCTTGTGAAACAGAATCTTCAAGTTGCCTAACAATCCAAAATTAAATTGAGCAGGAAGGATAAAAAACACCACTAGAGGTACCACTTCAGATAGCATAATGCACGCAACCATCTTGCACTGGCACCTGAAGGGCCAAAGCAGCCTTCCCTAGTTCCATTATCTCAGCACTGCAGCTTAAGGATCCTGTTACACGCAAGCAGCAAACCCGTTTCGGACAGTAGGAGAACACTGAGCGGGGCTTGTTTCTTCACTACATTGCTTGGGTTTAGTGCTAGTAAATTTCTTATGCCAGCCAAGATTTATGTTTTAACAGCACCGCAAGTCTAGGGCTTTGTTCATTGTAGAGATGCATGCTGTGTACAGAACATGTCATTCATTCTATTTTGGGCTCCATGTTTATAGGTCTGGGGCAAGTGATCTAGAAAACTCCTAACAGCTGTTCTTAGAAGAAGGGGATTCTCCTATATTTCCTTTCGGCTTAAGAAGCATCTGTTTCTTCTTTTGGTGGCCAATATCTAGCATGGGTGTACTAATCTTAACCTGTGAGAGACTTTGTTATGGTCTAAGGCTAAGGCTGACTATGAAATGCTTTGGGGTGATGGCATGCTTAGGAAATCTGCTCTGATGATAAAGATCCTTGTTGCTGTTTTTGCTTCCTCAAATAGTTGTTGATTTATAGATTATGAAACACTGAGAGGGGATGATAATTATATTCACAGTGAGTAAGAATATTTCATGCAAAATCTTTTCCAGTTCTTCTGAACTTTCACCATTTTTCTTCCTAAAGCAATAAGAAAATAATTCTAAGTTTCGATTGTTCCTGGACATTATTATTGTAGCATCATTGGTTTATGCAAAGAAAGTCATTGGCTTCAGAGAAAAGCATCCTAGAAAATATTTATTTTTTTATTATTTTTTTAATAAATAATAATAATTTATTTAAAGTAGGATACATAAAAGTTCAAAATAATGGCAATCTTAAGCTTATATCAAAGTAGGTAACATCAAAAGTCAGAAAAAGTACAATTAATTGTTTCAAAAATAGAAGAATATACTTTCCACTCTGAAATCAAAGAATTAGTACAAAGATCATAAAAATTTTATGTGGGTGATAACTAACTTCCATTGTTTGATAAATATCCAATATATGTACATCTAGCGAATCGGTTTTATTTTTGCTGCCAATGTCAGGAGAGGGTTCACATCCAATTCCTAAATTGCTGCCAAGAGGAGGGTAAGAAATCTTCTGTTGCTAAGAATTCCAATATAGGATCCCATTTTTCCATTACAGGTTTTTCTATGGGTTTTTGGGTTAGTCTATTGAGTTTGTTGGTAACAGAGTCCATAAGGAATTGGTCCCACAACTTTTGATACCAGAGTCCCAATGTGGGAGGATTTGGATTTTTCCAACAAGTAGCAATCGCTGTTCGTGCAGCATAAATCATAACATCCAAGGTCTGCTTATGTACATGTTTTTCAATATGAGGCGGCCAATGTTTAAGGAAGAGGTTTTCAGGATCCAGTGGGATTTCAAGGCCTATAATTCTGTGTACCATTTGTTTTATTTCTTCCCAAAAATGTGCTATTTTATCGCATTCCCACCAAGAGTGGGCGAACGTGCCTATCTTGTCACAATTTTTCCAACATTTTGGTGAGATTGTGGCATGCATATGGGAAAGTCGTTGAGGAGTCAAGTACCACCTCATTAGTATCTTAAAATCTTGTAGCTCTAGTGGAATAGAATTTGGGTATTTATTTATTTATGTTGGCGATATTTATTTATTTATGTTGGAGATATGCACAGCACTTGTTCCCCATAGCATTCTCGTGCAGTGTTTGTATGCACATGGCCCAGGGGAAAAGACTGGGATCCTTCTGTCACTCAGTGTCTTCAGTGCACTAAGGTTTACTAAGCCTGTGTTCCCTGCTTGCTGACTCACACAGGTGAAGTTCTAACTCTCTGTTAATATCTCTAATCACCTGTGATGTATTTAGCATTACAGTTGTACTGTGAGGGGAAATTGCTGTTAAACCACTGTTTTAAAAGCTGATTTCATTGATTTTAAAACTACCTTAGAGGATGGGGGGGTGTTACTTTTTAAAAATACAGAACTTTTCTTCCTAGCCTTGATCAGAATTTGTTTAGGCTTAATTGTTAGTCCCATGTCCTTTGAGAGATCGGGTTAACTAAACCTCTGGGGTCCTGTTTTACAGGAATAAGGCCTCTGTCTGAGTTTCTGAGTGAAGATGAAATAGTACTACAGGGCAACTCCCCAGGTGATGCATTGCAAAAGAAGTCACAAGGTAAGTAGTGTTCCAAGCAGCCTCATCCCAAAAGACACTGTGTAGGTCAACAGAAGGTGGGGGGGATAAGAGAGCACTAGAGAAAAATGAGTGACTACACTGGAAGCTGGAATCCTTTTCTGTTCTCAGCTTAATTTAAAAAGAATAAGTAGGTTTCAGCTTTTCACATATTACAAGATGGGAAGCAATATTTTAAAATTATCTGTATATTTAGATTGCTGGAGCGGAAAGCTTCTATGAAAGATTTTGTTCAAATCCGGTTTAAATCGTAAATTCATTCTATTAAAGACAAATGATTGTAAAAGCAGGGGAACAGATGCAGTACATAATTTGATTCCTTATAGTTGGTGGAAATGTAACTTAGAAATTCTGGCTTTTTCTGGAAGGGAACAAAATAGGTGCCTAGTTCAATATTGCCCAGTCATTTTTTCCCCTTCTTGGAAATATTTTCTGACAGATGGTAGTCTGGCAGCTCTGTCTCTAATTCACATTAAATTTCTGGCATGAGTTTACCTTGGCAGGAACATTTCAGGTGGTTGGTGATGGAGGAGGCACTGTGCTTTGATTAAAAGTTTCCTGGGCTGTATTGTTTTTCCAAGGAGTATATTTTACCTGGAACTCATTTGACAAGTTTTCTTCAAGAATTAAGAGTTAGTAGTAGTGGTAACTCACTGTTTCTTTTATTTTTACCCTAGCATCTGAGAAGCCTGCAGAAAAGCCCAAGAATAAGAAAGCTAATGCTGCCAGTAGGGTAAGTCATCTGAACAACTAAAAATCATAAAACAGGTAGAAGTCCTCTAAGAGCCTGCATTTTAGGCTATGGCGTCATGTGTATATTACAGGGAAGAAGAGATTGGCATATCAGGGCAATCATTTCTTTGTTGCATGAAGCCGATCCCGTGGAGTCAATGCAGGCATCACAATAACAAACCACAGTTTGTACTAACCATAGTTGAGAATCCAGGTTAGGGTTTGAGCTTTTAAATTGTACAGGCAAACTGTGTCAGAGTGACTTGCCAGCTTTCAGCTTCTCTCATAACTCCAGTCTTTAGGTGTTTGCAAGCAAGTGCCATAACTAAACCACCAGGTAGTACTAATCATAGTTTGCAGACCCTTTGCAGATTGTGAGTCTCATTTGCTGGCCAGCTGCAGACTATGATGCGTCTATTAAGATATCACATAAGACAACACAAGTGCAGTGTGCTGCTGCTGCTGCAGAATGAGACAGTTGCATTTATTTGAAAAGAGCCATTTGCTTTTATTCAAGAACTGTTTATTAAAAGCTTCCGGAAGCTTATACAATTAGTTGCGAACCAGACATGTTGGATTTGAAGGAATCTGCAACAATGGCCTATTTTTAAGCTTTGCAGCTGGTAAGATTTCACTGATAATGAAGAAATGTTGTTCAGCTATCCCACCTGAGAGGGACAACTGATGGCATAAATGGGCTGTTGGCCACTATTGCAAGGATGCAGTATGTTTTATTTGTCTGTAGTTTCCCCCCCCAAAAAAAGCAGGTGGATTGCAGGCCTTGCCCTAATGTTCTTAACACCAACTGCTTCATTAAATAACCAACATTGCTGATCTGCAGCTAGAACAAGGAGAAATAATCAGTGGGACTGTCTGAGATCCTTTACTGCGTGCAGAATTTAAAATATGAGCATTTACAAGAATGGCCTTAAACAAAATGAAAAATAAACTGATTATTTTTCTTTTTATTCCTGCTCAAGGGGTCTATCAGGATGTATCATAACTCGGGCTGTGGGTACACGGGCAGGAAAATGCGGGGGGGAGGCGTGGCTGTTTGCCCCGGGGCTAAAAAACACGCGGTTGCGCGAGCAGACCTACCGTGGAGGTCCCATGGTAGGGGGGAGGTGCTGATCACTCCACAGTCCTGCAGCGCGTCACAGAAGCGGGGCGCGGGGTGAACGGGATTGGGGGGGTTAAACTCAAACGTGGAGACTTTGAAAAAAAAAAACCTTTTTGCGAGGGGACATGGGCGGGCTCCGGAACTACCACCGGAAACGCGATCAGACGCCCACCCTTGCCCCGCGGTTTCAGGTACTCTGAGGTACTAGTTTTTTACCGCGTATCTTCTGCGGGAAGCCTCGGGTTCGCCACGGGAGCTCGACATTTCCCAGATCCGCCTATTTTCCGTCCCTCTAGCGTGCCTAATGCTCCGTGTGACCGCAGCCTCAGTAAAGTTTTTAAAACAATCGGAGCTTATTCCCGTAAGAGATCTACCCTAACCGTTTTCCGTTAGTAAAATTCCCCAAATAATTTAAAATATTGGTTTATAAAAAAGTTAATCAGCTTTGGGCATCTCGTAGATTATTACTGTCTTTATTGTGAATTCTGTAGATTTGAATTTGGAATGCTTCAGCCTCTTTTTCTGCCTTGAATTCTGTTCTCTTCCACCTGTACTACAGCCTGAAGTTTTTATTAGCAACTCAGTATTCCCTAAAAAACAGTGTTAACAGTAATTAAACAATTCATATTCTTTCCTGCAGGTTCAACACACAGTGTCCTCACAATATCCAGAAAATGACCCAGACTACTGCGTGTGGATGCCACCTGAAGGTAATGTGTAGTCTTTTTTTTTTAATTAACTGATATTCCTGTGATCTTAACATACTACAGTGTAGCAGCAATAAATAAAAACAGTCAGCAATTAAAATGAGAACCTTACTTACCAAACACTTGTTTTGTTATTTCCTAAAAAGCTAGGACGAAGTTTGATTTGAGGATCTTCTTTAGAGAGGGACTTCCAAATGCTTAAAAAGACCATACTCCTCTATACTAGTGGTCTTGCTTCTGACAAAAAGACTTGAAGTAAGGTTCATGTCAGGTTTATTCATTCCTCTTAAGTACGTCCCACATATCCAAAGAGCACAGAGTAGCATACTTGGATGAAGTTATCCCATTTTTCCCCTTACAATAACCCTAGGAGAGCCAGCGTGGTTCTTTTAGCATGGGATATTGTGTCTAGTCACACCCTCCAAGAAGTAGGCAGTTACATTCTAAACAGCTACGTTTTTGAATTGCCTTCAGATAGGCCCATGTGTGTGTTTAAAGTTTCCAAGACATAACATAAAAGAGCCCTGCTGCATCATACCAGTGGTCCAGGTACCCCAGAATCCTGTTTCACACAGCAGCCAGTCAGTTGCCCTGGAGGTGCAACAAACAAGGCACAGAGGCCAAGGCCTTCCCTGATGTTGCCTCTTAGTACTGGGTTTCAGAAGTTTACTACCTCTGACTATGGAGATTCCGTTTATTAACCATGGCTAGTACCCACTGATGGGCCTAGCCTCTATGAATCTATCTCCCTTTTATAGCCCTCTATGTTTCTGTATGCATCATGGAGGCTAGATCACCCTTTTTTAAGGAATGGTTGTAACACCCTAGGGGCTGAATTCTGTGCAGAATGTTTTCATTCCCTAGAGTGAGCAGAAGTACAAAATTACTTTTCCCCTGTTTTTTGAACAGGTCAAAGCGGTGATGGTAGAACTCATCTGAATGCAAAATATGGCTATTAAGCATCAAGTGGTAGCTTTAAAGGGACTGTGGCACAGCGTTCAGTGGACAACCGTATTGTGAAAAAGCAAGTGACAAGATCTTGTTCATTATTTTTAAACTGCTTTTTGTGATTCCTTAAACTTGCCTACATCCTCTTCTTTCCTCCACTAAATGTATATATTGTATGTTATACGTATATAAAACTTGTATTTCCTTTGTATGTAGATGTGGAAGCTGTGTTTTGACTTAGTATGTACAGAAGGGCTGGATTTCTACAATAAAAACTTAAGAATCCAGATACATATTTCATTTGCAATATTTTTCAAAGAGAAACTGTGCTGTTCCACACATTGTGGGTTTTATGACACATGACAGAGCGCATGTCATGTGAAACTTGTATCATTTGTCCTGTGTGACAATTTTACAGGTATATTTGTGTATGTTTGTGTGTTTGGTAGTTTTACATACTTGATTACAGGAACTTTTCATTAGATTTCTTCAGACACATTGATCACTGCTCCTGATTCCTTCAAAAATATAGAATCATAGAGTTGGATGGGACCTCCAGGGTCTTTTAGTCCAACTCCCTGCAAAATGCAGGAAACTCACAAATACCTCCTCCTTCACACCCCCAGTGACTGCTGTTTTACTTATTTATTTATTGGATTTTTGTCCTGCCCTCCCAGCCAAGGCCAGCCCAGATGATGACAAAAAAACCCTCCAGGATCTCCAGCCAAAATGGCCCGGAGAAAAATTGCTTCCTGACCCCAAAGTGGCAAGAACTAAGCAATGAGGCAACCCTTTCCCGCCCTCCGTCTCATGATCTGTCTAAGTTCACAGAATCAGCATTGCTGTCAGATGGCCATCTAGCCTCTGTTTGAAAACCTCCAAAGAAGGAGAGCCCACCACCCCCCGAGGAAGCCTGTTCCACTGAGGAACTGCTCTAACTGTCAGGAAGTTCTTCCTAAGGTTTAACCAAAGACAAAATGACTGTGTACATTAAGGTCTAACAGGCTTTTGTGAGCCAGAAACCAGTTCATCAGACTCATGAACAGTAAACAGTAGCCTCTAGATGGAGCTAATCAACCCTAACCCTGCTATCCTCTTCATCAGTATTTATCGCACTGTCCAGAACTGGTTACCCATATTCCCTTTGATAGAGGGAAACTGAAGCCAATCCCTTTTGACTGTGTAAGGGAGAGCCTCTTAACTCAGTAGTGGAACACACATTTTATATTAAGGTCCCAGCATCTCCAGTAAAAGAATCTCTGATAGCAGGTCTCACTTAGCAAGAGGTCTTACCTGAAGACTGCTGCCAGTTGGAGTAGACAGTGATGAACTAGGATGCTCAGTGGTCTGACTAAGTCTAAAGCACTTTTATTTATTTCATGTGCTTATATACTTTTTAGCTGTTTACAATTAAAGTATATTGCAATTTTTACTTAGAGCCAATGGCTAGATGTAGAATTCCGGGATTTTTAGTAATAATTGGAAGATGCCTATTTCCAGGTGGTCAGCCGTGTTGATCTGAAGCAGTAGAACAAATTGGAGTCCGATGGAAGATACATGCATGTGTAGATGTGTTGGGTACAGAAAGTAAATTGAACCTGTCTTCTTCTGTTGTGTTTTTCCTGTACCAATCTGTTTGGCTTGTGTTGTCTATTAATTCAGAACTCCCCCCCCCCAATCCTGAATGGCAAATTTCAGATCAAAGCAGGAAGAAAGAGACAGGATCAAGTAAAGAGAATAAGGATGAGAGGCGTGCTTAGCATACCGGATGCTCTTTACCCATTTGTATTGATTACCATCTAATCAGTGAGCACTCTTAATAGGCAATCCATGTACTGTGGCCTGTCCTATTAAAGTGATAATTGTACTAAGATGATTTATTAGAAGTTCTAAATGGTGTAGTGTTCATAGACATCCGGCCACAGCTGGTTGCAGACTTCTGCCTGGGTGCTCATCTCTGCTGCCAGTCCTCTGAGCACCACCCTGCTTCTTTTGGGGACTGGGAAGGGTTTTAAAAAATATTTTTTCATCCATATTTCAAGTTCCCTATCCATCCCCGAATCTTGCCCTCTGCCTCTTTTCCCATCTAGCATTTCCAGGTACAGCCTATCCTTTGGAGTTGTGACTGTAAATAAGAAAGCTAAACTGTAAGGTCCAGGAATCTTGAGGAGGTTAGCCTTGAATTTTGTAGACTTAGTCCACCCATTGTGTTCTCTCCTGCATTCAGCGTTTTACTTCCAGGCCAGTAGCTGTGGCACAAACTGTCTGGTAGCACCCAAAAACCTGTGCGTTTTCTTGCCCAAAAGAAGTTGCACTCCATTCATGACATGTTTCTATATCTTCCATGTCACAGGAAAGGCTGCTAATTTCCTTTTCTAAATTCATTTTCAGGTAGCTTGCTTATTCCTAAACCCCAGTTGGGGCCAATGCTCCCTCTAAGCTGTGGAGTCTTGTGAGCAAAAATTCTACTTTGTGAGCTACTGGCATTAGAGTTGTGAGCCAGCGATTTGACTACTGCATAGATTAGTTTGCTCTGGAGCCATCCTTTCTGAGCTAAGTCAAAAATGTGTGAGCCAGAGGCTAAAAAACTGAGCTAACTCACACTAACTCAGCTTAGAGGGAACATTGGTTGGGGCCAGATAATATATGAGAAAAGATTCCCAGGGTTCAATGAAAATGAACTCCTACTTGCCCATCACTACCTTCTGCATAATTTTACTCAGCAGCCTCTGACACACATCAGAAAGGAAATGGAAGCCAGCTGGAGCACTGCAATAAATAACACTGAGCAGCAAAACATAGTTGATCCTATGGCAGTGACTGAAAATTAACATGGTAAAAGGTCTTAGCCTGAAAATGCCTAGAGAGTTGAAGTCATAAAAATCATAGGACCGAAGCGTACCCAATGATTATCCACTCCAGCCTTTAATGACATAAATGTTTATAAAGTATTGTCTAGTAAGGAAGATTATAGATTAGGAAGAGCTTTGGGAAAGGTTCTTGTTTATATTATTTGCACACACAAAAAGAAGTTGGAAAATTTGGAACGTTGAAGCCAGACAGCAAAAAGATGGGGAAGAAAAGCTTGAGACAGCAGGAAGAAATGAGCAAGCTAATTTAACTTGCTTTATTATTTGGAGGGGCCTTAAGTTTGTAACGTGTAATCACCATTTAGTCATCATTTTGGCCTAATTATGCTCATCTGTAAGTAAATGTTGGTCTGATTTTAGCACTAAACTAGTATCCATTAAACTCTGATTACTTGATTCTCATTTGTCCTTTTGCACACAAACTTTGGAAATCTTCTGACGCCTGAAAGTGCATCTCTTCTTGCATAGCTGTTTTTTTTTTCTCCCATGTGAGTGGGTGGGAAGCTGTTATTTCAGAATCCTTTGAATAACCAGGCTGAATTTCACTCTCATAAATTTTCATCTCCCTCTGTTAATAAAATAAGCATATATTTTTCTTAAAAACAACTTGGCTTTACTGCTTTGACCTTTCTGCAAACCATGAAGAATTTATCCTTGACTGAAAACACATCTCCCAAACCCAGAAGGAAAGTAATTTCTAAAATGCTGTTTTTGTAAAACTGGGTTTGGAAATGTCAAGTGGGCAACTAAGCAGTATGAATCACAGGAACCAGTTCAACAGGCAGAGAGCAATGTGTGTGCAATAGCACTGGAAGAGTTAGAATTTCATTGGATACTGACCAAATCCTTTTATCAGGCTGAGATCTGAGCTTCAGTTTAGTGCCATTAGGTTAGTATACAATTAAGTTCTGCTAAATCCAGAGTGTTCAAAATATGAAGTCTATTCATCATGGCAGTAGGCAAGGTTCCTAAGGGAGCCGTGTACTTCTTGATCACAACCAGTCCTCTCTCCCAAAGTCCATGTTCAGTATACATCATCATAGGACTGGAAGAGACAATATGTAGGGCATATTTATCCCATTCTTCCTGTTAAGAATCCAGGGCGGCATATGTGGTTCTCCCTCCTGTATCTTATCACAGCAACCCTGGGACGTAGGCTAGTCTGTGATAGCATGACAGACAGGTTTCTCTGAGATCCTCGTCCAACATGAACCACTACTTATCTAATGACAAGGCAGTGCTGAGGGGGATCAGTTGAGCAATTTCCTTTAAGCTTCTGCTGGTGGAAAAAGTGACTTGCCCATCAGTACTGGCTGTTAGCACATGATAGGAGCCCTGCAAAAGAAAGATTATATAGTCAGATCCTGATGCTTCTGTGGTTGAAGCAATAAGACTGGATATTTTCAAATTTTATATCCCGCCTCTCAGAGTTCTCTCAGCCCCACCTATCTCACAGGGTGTCTGTTGTGGGAAAGGGAAGGGGAAGGAGTTTGTGAGCCGCTCTTAGACTCCGAGTGAAGGGCGGGGTATAAATCCAATCTCTTCTTCTTCTGCCCTTACAAGGTGCCTGCCTCTGCATAGCAACCCTGGACTTCCTTGGAGGTCTCCCATCCAAGGACTAACCACGGCTGACCCTGCTTAGCAACCAAGATCTGACAAGATCAGGCTAGCCCAGGCCATGGTGCTGCTAAGATAAGCTTTTCTGTGTGGGTGGGTTTGTTTTTTGAGGTGGGGTGGGGTCAGTTCTGACCCCGTACTGCTTTGGTTTATCCTGATTTCCACGTGTTTTTTGTGCCATTAGTTTCCACTTTGGTTTTTTGTATTTTTGTTTTACCAGAGGTTCTTTTTCTGTTTCTTTTGAGGCCACTTTTACCATGGTTTTTTTCCTAGAAAACTATTTTGAATCGCCTTTTTTCTTGTGTGTAATGTTTCCCTCCGTTTTCTTTGACCCACCCACTCCCACACACCTCCACTCATCATCCAACCACTCCCTCTCCCCCCCACCATGAAGATGAGTGGTTTCATTTGTTTAAAAAAGGCACTAAAATATTGATGTTTTGCTGTAATGATAGGTTTAACTGTGTGCTTCTGTTCCCCTGCAGTAGGGGAAATATATGGGTCTGCACATCTCTGCTATATTCTGCAGATTATGCTACTTCAATTGCTATAGCATAGGCTTAACTCTCTGCTATATGCTGCAAATTATGCTACTTCAATTGCTATAGCACAAGCTTAACTATTAGTGTCTTGAGCAGCTAAAATCAGACAGCATGATAAGGCTACCCAGTTATCTGCTGAGCAGCTGAAAGGAGCAGAAGACTGATCATTATTCATTGTATGGCTACAAGGGCAATTGACATTTACATATACATTCCCTTCT